GGGTCCACAGCCACTCAGCTGACCCGGATGAGTGGCGTTCCCACAGTGGGCCGATCCCCACAGGCCAAGCCCCCCCACCAGTGCATGAATACCGTGCACCAAGCCTCTAGTATAGTATAAACAAACTCCCCCACCCCGACATCCCAAAATGCAGATTGAAATTGATTTAATCATACTTAAGATGTGTGAGTGGTTATTTGTATAGTATACTATTTCTTTAGTCAAGTGTATAATATTATTTGGCAACTAGAAATGGATGTCTGATTTAGATTCTAGAAAATTCTTTAGTTAAAATAGTTATATCTTTGAAATTCTCCTTTAAACAAGTTTGAATTTCTTGGTTGGTCTCTCTCCTTGTATTGGACATGCTTATACTTTAGAGAGCAGTGTAGTACTCAGGAATGTTTGGTTATTGAGAGTTTTGATGAAGTCATAAAGATGTTAGAAAGACTGGATTAGTTGCACGGAGGGCCTCCATGTGCTGGGATGCTGTCCAGGGTATAACTGCAGCTTTACCATTTGTGTCATTCAATGAGTAAATGATGCTGTAAACAGGCTTGATGTTAGATTATTTTTTCTTTGATTTTTTGTTTTGCTTTTCTCTCCTAATCTAACAGAGGATTATAAGATAATAATGATTGTGTTGGTGGGTGGGTGGGAAGTTAGATAGCTCCAGAGGGCGGATGCTGACAGTCCTTGAAGCTGAGAGAAGGATGGTGGATTCATTATACCATCTGTTTACTTTTCTTATGTTTGAAATGTTCCATAATAAGAGGTCTTTAAATGGTCTATTTGCTTAAGGAGGCTTTTATAAAATTACAAGATACAAAGTTAAGTTCTTACAAAAGTAGTAGTGATGATAAAAGGTGACTTTATTTATTTTGGGTTGAACCACAATAACTTGCTGGTATTCCACTGGTTTTACCTCTGTAAAGGGCAATTTCATTTGGTTCAACCTACTGTGTTCATGTGACAGTCACAACCTTAGGTGAGAGTAAAGGTAACAGTGCTGTGTATTAGGGATCATAGAACAGAAACATTACTGTGCAAGGCATTGGCTGCTGTAGCTGGAGACACTGAGCAGCTTTACTTTCTCAGCTTCATTAATGAGGGATGATGTTCCATTTACTGTATAAACAAGAGTTTGATTTTAAACAAAAGGAAAGGAGAGAAATGTCATTTTTTTTAAAAAAGATAAACATTTTTTGTTTATAGAAGTTATGATAGAAGTTCCAGGAGTTTAGATCAAGATTCTCCTTCAAAAAAGAAGTTTCAAACTAATTATGCTTCTACCACCCATTTAATGACTGGCAAGAAAGTCCCATCATCGCTGCAGACAAAGCCAAGTGATTTGGAAACAACAGTCTTTTACATCCCTGGAGTCGATGTAAAGGTACAAACCTCATGTCTAGGGTGTGGGATGAGGTTATTAGTACCTGTGTTTATTTTCTACCAGACATGCACTTCCTTCACCAGTTATATGAAGCTGAGCTTTTCCAAGGTTTTTCTCTAGCCTGTGAACATCTGAAGTGCAGGCTATCACTTTCTTTAGACAGATTTCACCACAAAAGTTGGGCAGAAAGAAGTTAATTTTATTTTCCATACATTGATATTCATAACATGTTTTCTAAGGCTTGCCTAGTGCAACTTTATTAAACAACTGTTTTTTAGATTCTAGAATCACAGAATCCTATAATGTTAAGCTAGAAATAAATTAAAATATTATCTGGGGTGGCCTTTTTAGTTTTGAAAATGGAAGAAAGCTAAAAACGTGTCATGGTCACAGAGCTAACTTGTAAACACGGACCTGGGTCTTCTGACTCCTGGGCCCATGTTCATTCTACACATTTTCCTGCATTTCTTGTTTATTCTCATCTGCATAATTTTAACTTTGAAAGTCTGTTGTTGTTGTTTTTTTCAATACAGTTGCATTACAACTCCAAGACACTAAAGACTGAATCACCTAATGCCTCCAGAGGGTCTTCCCTGCCAAGAACACTCTCTAAAGAGTCCAAGCTTTATGGTATGAAAGATAGTGCCGCCTCTCCTCCTCCTTTATCTTGCACTATCCAGAGCAAGACTAACACCTTACTTCCTCCCCAGCCCCCACCTATTCCCTCAGGTATTGAAGAAAAATGAACTTGACTTTTACTTTTTTTCATAGCTTAATGTTTAGTTATCACCTACTTGCTCTATTGAGACTTTCAAATTCACATGTTTAAGAAAAGAGGAAATAGACTTAATAATGACTGTACAAAATTTATAGATGGAACTGTAAGCCAACTACTTTGGGCTGTTTTTAAAATTGTTATTACCTTAAAATATCCACTGTTAAAATAAACTTAATATACCAAATAATTTTTTTTAGATCTATGCATATTTAGAAAAAGTTGTAGGTCCAGTTTGGGAGCTGATGATCTGGATGGAAACATCAGACTTACACAAGATTGAGTATACTGAGCTTGACCACATTATTATCTATTATTGTGTAACATATTACCCAAACTTGGTGGCTTCTAATCTCAAACATTAATGTCTGGCAAGAAAGTCCCATCATCGCTGCAGACAAAGCCGAGTGACTTGGAAACAAGTCTTTTACATCACAGATTCAGTTTGGCCTGATAGATCTTTACAGAGTTGCTGTCAAGATGTTGGCAAGGGCTATGTCATCTGAATGCTTGGCTGGGTCTTGAGCATCTGCTTCTGTAATGTCCCACTGCACATGGTAGGCACACTGCGCCTTAGTTCTCCCCTAGAGGTCTCCCCGCTGGGCTCCTGGTGTGTTCTCCTGGCAGGGCAGCTGGCATCCTTCGAAAACAGCGATCACAAAGAGAACATGGCTGAAGCAGCTCCATCTCTTATGGCTTAGCCTCAGAAGTCGGGTATCCTTCCTTCCACAATGTCTATTGATCCTACAGCTCAGCTCTGCTCAGTGAGGGAGGGAACCATACAGGGGCATGAGTGCTGGGGGGCCAGGACCGTTGGAAGCTATTTTGGAATCTGGGTATCACACCACGTGAATACCACCTTCCCTGAATAGAATTTCTAAAATGGGGAATGTCAGGCTGGATAGTAATTATTTGAAACAGTTTCATTTGGGAGATGGAACTTGATATATAAATCGTTTACAATAGCTAGTAATCATGATAATGCATTCGTTTTCTACCATTTTCAGTTGACAAGGCACAGCTATGTCCACTATGTGCAGGAGAGAGATGATTATTCCCATTTGATAAATAAGGAAAGTTAAGGCTTATAGAAGTTGAATTTCTTTCCTAGGTTTACAAAACGAATATATGTTGGAGTTGGAAACCTAAGCCAAAGTTAGCGAAGTCTGAGATAGCTGTTATACTCATTCTACTGATGTGGAAATATTTAGTTAGGTAGAAGGAAAGAGATGGCAGCCCATGTAGGGAAGCATTGTAAATACGTGCAAGCTGAGGACAGCCAGAACATAGGGAAGCCTGAAAATAATGACTTTTTCTTCACTTGCCACAAAATATTGTCTGAGTTCTCTGTATCTTCTTAGGTGGACAAAATAATGCTAATGAGAAATTCAGCAAAGTATAAACTTGAAAAGCTGAACCAAACTTTGTAAGCTAGAGCAAGTAGGAATAACTTGTGTTACTTACATCATTAGTCATCTTTGTATTCCAACATTAATATATCATTTCTATCAACCTGTTCTCTTTATTACATTCGTGTACAGTTTTATGTATAAGGTGCTTCACCTGATTAAACAGTCATATATTTCGAATGTCTCACAAAATTATCATATTGTTTTATTAAATTCAACTCACATTTGTCAATATTCTAGCCAAAGGAAAAGGAAGTGGAGGAATCAAAACAGCCAAGTTATATGCCTGGGTAGCACTTCAGTCACTGCCAGAGGAAATGGTGATCAGTCCCTGCCTGTTAGACTTTCTAGAAAAGGCTCTGGAAACTATCCCAATCACACCAATTGAGAGGAATTACACAAGTGAGTATCCTCCTTAGGGATTTACTTTTCTATCATAATACACTTTGGGATCCTAGTACTTAGAAGGGTTTTATAATGGCATTATAATATATTCAGTGGTAATATAAAAGAATTATAGAATTGAGAAAGAGCCTGAGAGATCCTCTAGTTCAGCGCTTCTCAACCTCTGGGTCTCGACCCCTTTGGCGGTCGAATGACCCTTTCACAGGGGTCGCCTAAGACCATCCTGCATATCAGATATTTACATTACGATTCATAACAGTAGCAACATTACAGTTATGAAGTAGCAACGAAAATAATTTTATGGTTGGGTCACAACATGAGGAACTGTATTTAAAGGACCAGAAGGTTGAGAACCACTGCTCTAGTCCTTATTTACAAGTAAAGAAATTAAGTCCTGGTGAGGTTGTAGGATTTTCCAACTACCATAGCCAGTTCATGACAAAATCACATCCCTGTGTCCTAAGGTGTCTCTTAGCCTGAAGAATCCTTGGGGAAAAGGTGTAATTGATATTTCTTTGGGGTGTTTGGTATAGCAGCAGGGGTGGGGGGGTTTTCAGGGTTCAGGGCAGTGGTTCTCAACCTGTGGGTCGAGACCCCTTTGGGGGTCAAACGACCCTTTCACAGGGGTCGCCTAAGACCATCGGAAAACACATCTATAATTACATATTGTTTTTGTGATTAATCACTATGCTTTAATTATGTTCAATTTGTAACAATAAAAATATATCCTGCATATCAGATATTTACATTACGATTCATAACAGTAGCAAAATTACAGTTATGAAGTAGCAACGAAAATAATTTTATGGTTGGGGGTCACCACAACATGAGGAACTGTATTAAAGGGTCGCAGCATTAGGAAGGTTGAGAACAACTGGTTTAGGGGGATGAGTGAGAAGTTTGACTGGGAAAAGAAGTCTGTTATGATGGGCCCCAGAAGCAAACGTTGCTGTGTGTTTATAACCCTGAGCTTAGTACTGCCCCTTGTCCTAATGATGAAACTTAAAATTCACTATTTTAATAGCTGTCAGCTCCCAAGATGAAGACATGGGGCATTTTGAGATTCCAGACCCTATGGAAGAGTCAACAACATCGTTAGTGTCATCCTCCACATCTGCTTACTCTTCCTTCCCGGTGGACGTCGTGGTCTATGTCCGCGTGCAGGTGGGGCATTTCACTTATTCTTGTTGTAGAGAAAAATGCTTTTCTTACGTTTATTTCTCTTTCCCAACATTATTTCCCTTTCAAGTTTTCTTCTCTTTTGTATGTATCTTGGCTGACAGGTTACTGAAACCTTGGGGAAGTACATGTACAGTTTTGTGTGTGTTTACTTTTCTGCTGAGGAAGGTTTTCAGAATTAGGTCTCATACTTTTGTGGCAAAAAATAAAAATATATAAATTAAATTCTTTTTTTAGCATTATATGCCTTTTTTTAGTATGGCATCTGTGCTACTTGCTATTATGGTCTTTTGGGGCAGATATAAAGGTAATTGAGGTATAAAGTCACAGTAATGCCTTTGTTAGATTTCTCCTAAGAGCTATGTAATTTTTACTTAATGTTTTATTTTAAAATGCAGTCCTGTCAATAGGCCTTTGGGAGTATATGTTAGAATCTGACTGAGTCCATTTAGTAAGAGGATTTGAAAACTATTTGTACCTAAACTTGAGGGTTTAGTTTACCCTCAATTAAAATCTAATGATCAATCTCAAGAATGATCAATCTCAAGAATAAAAGAACTGCTAGTGGTCATCTGTTCAGACCATTTTCTACAGGAACAATTTGGTGTTTTGCACTAGCTGTTTTCAAAATCTGATGAAAACGTGTAAAGGGGTGAGGGCTTGAGAGCCTATGAAACTTTCATTAATGTAAGTCTTTTTAAATTTTAGTATAAAGGATATTACTTCCTGTACTTGATTATGAACAAGTATAATGTGAATATAAACATCTTTAATGGTCTGAATTATCTAAATATTTATCACTCAGATACAGCTCCTCAAATACTTAGATTTTTAAAAAATGTTATCATTTTGTTAATGTCTCATGTCTGCTTACAAAAGCTAGTACATTAAACACAAAATCCTTTCCTGTGTCAGTAAATTTGGTATATGTGGACCGAAATGGAAATGTAATTTTTAGAATCCAATGTAAAATTGTTTCACCTAGAACTTTTTTATTTTTGGCTTTCTGCACTTAAGCCCTCACAGATCAAGTTCAGCTGTTTACCAGTATCAAGAGTAGAATGCATGCTGAAGTTGCCATCCCTGGACCTGGTGTTCTCTTCAAACCGGGGAGAACTGGAGACTTTAGGAACCACGTGTCCTGCCGAGACTTTGTCCCCTGGAGGTAATGCCAATCAGAGTGGAGCAAAGGCCTCTGCAGGCAAGACGGGAACCCCAGGTAAAGAAACCTTTTTTTATCTACCAGTGTAGAGCCAAGTACTTTTTTTTTTTAGATTTATCTTCATTGTTGAAGATAAATGTCCCCTTTGTTTGTCTGGTTTTTTTTTTCCCATTGACCCCTTACACCCCACGCCCGCCCCTCCCAGGCCTTCACGATTCCAATGTCTGTGTCCATGGACTATGCATATATGCATATTAGTTCCCTGGTTAATCACTCCTCACCCACCTCCCACCCCTGCCTTCCCTCTGAAATTCGTCTGTCTGTTCCATGCTTCTGTGTTTCTGGATCTATTTTGTTCCTCAGTTTATTTTGTCCATTAGATTCACATATGAGTGAGATCATGTGATACTTACCTTTCTCTGACTGGCTTATTTCACTTAGCATAGTACTCTCCAGGTCCATCCATGTTGTTACAAATAGTAAGAGTTCTTTCTTTTTTACAGCTGCGTAGTATTCCATTGTGTAAAGGTACCACAGCTTTTTTATCCACTCATCTGCTGTTGGGCACTTGGGCTGTTTCCAAATCTTAGCTATTGTAAATTACAACTCTATGAGCATAGGGGTGCATATTTTTTTTCTGACTGGTGTTTCTGGTTTCTTAGTATGTATTCCTAGATGTGGGATCCCTGGGTCAAATGGAAGTTCCATTTTTAATTTTTTGAGGAAATTCCATACTGTTTTCCACAGTGACTGCACCAGTTTTCATTCCCACCAACAGTGTACTATGGTTCCCTTTTCTCCACATCCTTGACAACACTTGTTGCTTGTTGATGGTAGCCATTCTGACAGGTGTGAGGTGATACCTCAATGGGTTTTAATTTGCATCTCTCTGATGATCAGTGACTTTGAGCATTTTTTCATGTATTTTGACCTTCTGTATGTCCACTTTGGAGAAGTATCTATTTAGGTCCTTTGCTCATTTTTAAATTGGATTGTTTGTCTTTCTTTTGTTAAGTTGTATGAGTTCCTTATATATTTTGGAAATTAACCCCTTATGGGATGTATCATTGGGAAATATGTTCTCCCATGTAGTGGGCTCTCTTTTCATTATGTTGATGGTTTCTTTTGCTGTGCAGAAGCCTTTTATTTTGATGTAGTCCCGTTTGTTTATTTCCTCCTTAATTTCCTTTGCCCTAGGACAGTGGTCGGCAAACTGTGGCTTGCGAGCCACATGCGGCTCTTTGGCCCCTTGAGTGTGGCCACGAAGTTTCAATCGCACTGTACGTGCGCGCCCACACGTGGTATTTTGTGGAAGAGCCACACTCAAGGGACCGCAGTTTGCCGACCACTGCCCTAGGAGATGTACCCATAAACATATTGCTACGAGAGATGTCTGAGATTTTGCTGTGTATGGTTTGTTTCTTCTAAGATTTTTATGGTTTCAGGCTTTCATTTAAGTGTATGGTGCACGTTGGTGGTCTAGTTGCATTTTTTTGCATATACCTGTCCCATTTTCCCAACACCATTTATTGAAGAGACTGTCTTGACTCCATTATATGCTCTTGCCTCCTTTGTCAAATATTAATTGAGTGTAATGGCTTGGGTCGATTTTTGGGTTCTCTCTTCTGTTCCATTGATCTATATGCCTATTCTTGTACCAGTACCAGACTATTTTGAGTACAGTGGCTTTGTAGTATAACTTGATATCTGGTATTGTGATACCTCCAATTTTGTTCTTCGTTCTCAAGATTGCTATGGCTATTCAGGGTCTTTTCCATATAAATTTTTGGAGTGTTAGTTCTAGATCTGTGAAATATGCTATTGGTATTTTAATAGGGATTGCACTGAATTTATAGATTGCTTCGGGTAGTATGGACATTTTAATGATGTTGATTCTATCAATCCAAGAATATAGAAGAAGGTATATTCTTCTACTTGTTTGTATCTTCATGTATCTCTCTTTTTTTTTAGTGTCTGTAGGTTTCAGAGTACATGTCTTTTACCTCCTTGGTTAATCTTGTTCCTAAGTATCTTAAATTTTTTTTGTTGCAATGGTAAATGGGATTGTTTTCTTCATTTCTCTTTCTGAGAGTTAATTATTGGTGTATAAAAATGCCATCGATTTCTGAGTGTTAATTTTGTATCCTGCTATGTTGCTGAATTCATTTATTAAATCTAGTAGTTTTTTTAAGGAGTCTTTAGGGTTTTCTGTGAATAATGACAGTTTATTTCCTCCTTTCCAATTTGGATGCCTTTTATTTCTTCTTCTTGTCTGATTGCCATGGCTAGGACTTCCAGTACTATATTGAATAAGAGTGGTGAAAGTGGACATCCCTGTCTTGTTCCTGTTCTTAGAGGAAATGGTTTTAGTTTTTGCCCATTGAGTATGATTTTGGTTGTAAGGTAGGTTTGTCATATATGGCCTTTATTATGTTGAGGTATGATACCTTTATTCCCACTTTGCTGAGAGTTTTTATCGAAAAAGGGTGTTGGATTTTGTTAAATGCTTTTTCTGCATCAATTGATATGATCATGATTTTTGTCTTCCAAACTGTTTATGTAATGTATCACATTTATTGATTTGCAAATATTGTACCAGCTTTGCATCCCTGGAATAAACCCCACTTGGTCATTGTGTATGATCTTTTTAATGTACTGCTGCATCTGATTTACTAATGTTTTGTTGAGGATTTTAGCATCTATGTTCATCAGGGAGTCTATCTGGTTTTGGAATTAGGGTAATGCTGTCCTCATAAAAAGAGTCTAGAAGTATTTGAATTTTTTTAAAATAGTTTGAGGAGAATCGGTGTTAGTTCTTCTTTGAATGTTTGGTAAAATTCCCCTGTGAAGCCATCTGGACCAGGGCTTTTGTTTGCTGGGAATTTTTTTTATTACTGCTTCAATTTCATCAGTAGTTATCAGCCTATTCAGGTTTTCTGATTCTTCCTCATTGAGTTTTGGAAGATTGTATTTTTCTAGGAATATGTCCATTTTGTCCAGGTTGTTCTGTTTGTTGGAATATAGTCGTTCAGAGTATTTTTTTTTTTACAATCCTTTGTATTTCTGTGGGGTCAGTTGCTACTGCACCTCTTTAATTTCTGATTTTATTTGGGTCCTCTCTTTGTTTCTTGAGTCTGGCTAGAAGTTCATCAATCTTGTTTATCTTTTCAAAGAACCAACCCTTGGTTTTATTGATTTTTTGTATTATTTTTTAAGTCTCTATGTCATTTATTTCTGCTCTAATCTTTATTATTTCCTTTCTTCTAATTACTCTGGGCTTTTCTTATTGTTCTCTTTCTAATTCTTTAAGTTGTAGAGTTAGGTAATTTATTAAAAGGTTTTCTTATTTTTTGAGGTAGGCCTGTAATGCTAAGAACTTCTCTCTCAGGACTGCTTTCACTGTGTCCCATAGATTTTGGGTTGTTGTGTGTTCATTTTCATTTGTTTCCGGGATATTTTCTACTTCTTCCTTGATCTCTTTGGTAACACATTCATCTATATATATAAAAGCCTAAGCAACCAAATGACTGAATGACCAGTTGACCGGTTGCTATGATGCTCACTGACCACCAGGGGACAGATGCTCAATGCAGGAGCTGACCCCTGGTGGTCAGTGCGCTCCCACAGTGGGAGCACCATTCAGCTGACTGACGGGTGCTAGATGCCAGGCTCACGGCTGGCAAGTGCAGTTGTGATGGTGCAAGCCTCTCCCACCTCCGCGGCAGCACTTCTGAGTGGCAGCGGCAGCAGGTGCAGCGGGGCTGGGATGAGCAGGAGTGGTGTGGTGCCTGGCCTGGGCTCGATCTCCTCCCTGGCTGCCTGCTGCTTCGGGAACTACTACATCCCTCAGGTGATGTCAGACTGCCGGTATCAGTCCGATCCCTGCAGGCTGTGGGGATCTAGTTGAAACCGGCAGTCCAACATCCCTCGAGGGGTCCCGATTGCAAGAGGGCGCAGGGCAGGCTCTAATTGTTTAATAACATGCTATTTAGGAGCCAAATACTATTTAATGTCCTATTCAGATGGCCTCCCATTATTTATGTTTAAAGCATAGTGGGAATCAGCCTGTCCACACATGGTAAGTTTTGCCACTGACACTTGGTTCTCTAAGAGAGAGAGAGATCTTTACTTTTTGCATTTTTTTTTGCATATGTGTAGTGGTTCTTTTTTTTTCAATTACAATTTACATTCAATATTACTTTGTATTTCAGGTGTTCAGCATAGTGATCATTCAGTTATATATGTTACAAAGTGTTCACCCGCTATTTCAAGTACATACCTGGCACCATACTGAGCTATTACAATGTTATCGACTGTTTTTCCTGTGCTATACTTTACATCCCTGTGACTCATCTGTAACTACCAATTTGTACTTCTGAATCCCTTTACCTTTTTCACCCAGCCCCAACCACCCTCTCTTCTGACAGTTGTCAGTCTGATCTCTATATCTATGTGTCTGTTTCTGGTTTATTTTTTGCTTCATCCTCTTCTTTAGATTCCACATGTAAGTGAGATCATGTGGTATTTGTCTTTCTGTGAGTGACTTATTTCACTGTACATAATACCCTCTAAGTCCATCCATGCTCGTTGGAAAAGGTGTAACTTTCTGCATTTGCTCTGTTTGCACTCTTTCCTACTGGAATGATTGGGCTTGTGAACAGTGTGTCCAGTTCCCCCCTTTGCTTAAACCCCTGCTATTTTGTGCCTCTTCCTTGGCCTGTTTCAGTGGCACAAAGGAGAGCAGAAACAGGAGGCTGTGGAGTTGGCCAGTCATACTAAAAAGGAATGTTTCAGAGTATTCAACCTGGTTTACCAAGTAAATTAATTGCAAAGTATATCTAAGACCTCATTTTGTTTTCAAGGATTAAATTTATGAGTGCATGCTTGAGTATTTCTTTTTTATTTTCAAGTCATGTTTGGTGGCTCTTGAGACTATTAGTGGCAGGATTTTTAAATTTTCTGTGGCTGATAAAGATTTTGGATGTCTGTGTTGATGGCAGGTTCATCAGGACTGGGCAGCCCTCTTGGCAGAAGTCGGCACAGCAGCAGTCAGTCAGATCTGACCACTTCTAGCAGTAGCTCCTCCGGGCTGAGCTTCACTGCCTGCATGTCTGACTTCTCCCTCTACGTGTTTCACCCTTACGGAGCTGGAAAACAGAAGAGTACTGTTTCTGGCCTCACGTCGGGGTCAGGAGGCTTAGGTACACTTAGCATGTTTGCATCTTTCTCAACTTTAGAGCACTTTTCAAACTTTGATCGTTTCATAAATCATGATACCTTTAATAATGGATATAAAGCAAGATCAGAAACTTACTAATTTTTCCTTTTGATAATATATATCCTGTCTCTACAAATAAGTAGAAATATGCAGTAAGTAATTTGGGTAAATGATTTATACAAGAACTGTAAAAATCAGAATATTTTATAAGTGATATACACAGCACAATAATATCTTTGGATATAGGTTTATTTGGATAAGAAATTCTATTCTACAAATAGTAAATTTTTTAAGGTGTTCATATTGTGTTTGTTAATTTAAAATGAGACTGTTAGTTTTATTATTACTATTAGAGAACTTAAATTTCACTGGCATTTTACCAATAAAAATGCTCATTAGATCATTCTGCTTAAATTTTTACCTCACTTTAAATGATTTTAATTGATGTGTTTAATTCCAGTGTTTTGGATAATTTCATGGAATTAGATAGTTGTGTGTATATGTATATGTACACATGTATGTTGTGTATATGTACTCATGTAGGTGTGTGTGGGTTTTTTTAAAGGGAATGTGGACGAAGACCCCACTTCAGTCACTGGTCGAAAAGACTCACTGAGTATAAACCTTGAGTTTGTAAAAGTGAGTTTGTCTCGGATAAGGCGTTCAGGAGGTGCCTCGTTTTTTGAAAATCAGTCTGTAAATAAGTCTGCAAGCAAAATGGACACCACACTAATAAATATATCTGGTATTCAATTTTACAGTTTTTAAATGTAAATGTTTGTTTTCCAGAATTAAATAAGGGGCTCCTTTTTAAGTGTTTAAATATTACATTTATTTAATAATATGAAGCTTTAATGGTAAAGGAGAGGAATGACAGTCCAGTCTAGTGTACACTTTCAGTGCAAGTAATCAGTGTTAGAAATGTTATCTACACTAATAAAAGAGAAAGATGCAAATTGACCATACCTTCACGATGCACACCAGCCAATCAGGAGTGAGTATGCAAATTAACCCAACAAAGATGGTGGGTTAATTTGCATACACAGGCGTGGAGCAGCCGGGGGTGGAGCAGGATGCTTGCGTTGTGGCCATGGCAATGAGGCAGGCATTCCACACCACCCTAGCCTCTCCGGGCTTCTGGGCAGCATGGGAAGGCAGAAAGGCAGCTCCGGCCAAGTGAAGGCAGTGCCGGCAGCCAGGGGAAGAAAGACCCATTCTTGCATGAATCTTCGTGCATTGGGCCTCTAGTTTCTAGATAAATATACAGAAATATCACCCAAGGGCTAAAATGTGCCTCATTGAGTCACCTAAAACTGCTCTTCTCTTCACTTCTCTACCATAAATTGGTAAAATTTCTAGTGTTTCATTTGATTTTCTAATTGTAAATTCTTAAAACACTAAAGAGGAATGAGTTAAAAATGTTCCACATGCATTTAGTTTTAAATATTCAAAAGTGATTTAGTCCTGGCCAGTATGGGTCAGTTGGTTGAGCATTGTCCCACGCACCAAGAGATATCTGGTTTGATTTCCAGTTGGGTCACATGCCCTGGTTGCTGGCTTGATCCCCAGTAGGGGTGTGCAGGAGGCAGCTGATCGATTTTTCTCTCCCCTTGATGGTTTTCTCTCCCTCTCCCTTCCTCTCTCTTTAAAAAAATCAATAGAAACTTTTTTAAAAAAGTGATTTGCCCATAGTTACAAAGCTAGTTATGAAGCTAGCAGTGCACATGCACATGACTTATATGCCGGTAGCATCGATTCTTTGGGCAGTGAAGCCATTAGAAGTTTTTAAGAAATGGGGTGATAACATTGTCCCCAAAGATAACAGACTGTATTGTACATTTAAAAATCTATTGAGTTTGGCTCAGTGATTAGAGAGTTAGCCCCCCAGACTGAAGGGTTGCAGGTTCAATTCTGGTCGAGGGCACATACCTTGGTTGAAGACTTGATCCTCAGCCCAGGTCGGGATGTGTGCAGGAGGCAGCCAATCGATGTGTCTCTATCACATTGATGTTTCTCTCTCTTTGTCTTTCCCCCTCACTTCCACTCTCTCTAAAAATCTTTGGAAAAATTGAGAGGATAAATCTCATCTTAGGTGTTCTGACCATAAAAAAAAAAGACAAAATTTTATATGGATTATAAAATAAACATCTGTGTGTGTGTGTGTGTGTGTGTGTGTGTGTGTGTGTGTAGTGGGTATTTTAGAAATAATTCATGGTAGCATGAAAAATGGGAGGGAAGATGTGTGGGGAGGCTGTTTAATTAGACACAGCAGCAGGGGCTGAAGGCTGGATTGTGACAATAATGAAGAAGAGGGAATGGTGTCTAGAGAAAGAGGAGAGAATCTACAAACTTGAGGACAGAGTGTGTGCAGAGCAGCAGAGACAGGATGCCTCACACTTTCAGTCTGTGTGTCAGAAGGGACAGAGTGGTAGACAATAAAGGAGGAAGTACCTCCAGGGCATTTAATGGCAGCTGCTGATAGGCTGTGAGCTCAGAGGGAAACTGAAGGCACGTCTGGGAGACCCAGGTGTGAAGACCCTCCTGAGGCCCTAGAGGAGGAATAAGGAGGGCAGAGCAGGAGCTGCGTGACCAGCACAGGGCTTTCACACTGACCAGCCCTGCTCTGGCAGTGGTCACCAACCTTTCAGACCTTGTGGACCACCAGTTGGTGACCATTGCTCCAAAGGTTTCCTTAAACCAGTGGTTGCCAACCTTTTGGACCTCATGCACCACCAGTGGTCCGCAGACCACTGGTTGGTGACCGCTGGTCTAGAGCAGTGGTTGGCAAACCGCGGCTCGCGAGACACATGCGGCTCTTTGGCCCCTTCAGTGTGGCTCTTCCACAAAATACTGACTTCTGCACATGGGCCACGAAGTTTCAATCGCACTGTACATGCGCGCCCGCACGTGGTATTTTGTGGAAGAGCCACACTGAAGGGGCCAAAGAGTCGCATGTGGATCGCGAGCCACGGTTTGCTGACCACGGGTCTTGAGGAAAGCAGCAGTTCCCCTACACCACCACTTGGTTTGAAGTCACTTTTGAGGAAGTGTGTATCCCAGTTTATCCCATGATTCATTCGCCACATTTTAGAAAAGCCCTGTGTTCAAGTTGAAAGCTGTCTGTAAGACTGACCTTTAGAACCTCTCTGAGAATTTATTGATAAAGTGTAATTCCAGTTTGCCTTTACCTCAACAAAGGAATGGAACTAAAGTGTTAGAATCTGCTACTTTTCTCATTTATGGAAGGAACATATTATTCCTTACTAATCATGCTGTGCAACATATTTAGATATTTCATGAATTGTAGCTATTATAATTTAGTTGTGTAATACCATATTATATTATACCATGTAGAAAATATTAAAGGTTTTGAAAATCTGTACTAACACATTTTTTAAATTTCTGTATCAGCTGTTTGTGACATAGGTTCTGCTTCCTTTAAGTATGATATGCGCCGGCTCAGTGAAATTCTGGCATTTCCAAGAGCCTGGTACAGGAGAAGTATTGCAAGACGTCTCTTCCTTGGAGACCAAACTATAAATTTGCCAAGTAAGCTCATTATGTAATTAGAGTTACACTTAGTTTGCTTTTAATTTTGGTTGCAATAGTAATAAGATCCATGATTGACAACACAAACTTAGTCTTACTTGGTAAGTTGTGGCATGCAGTTCATTCCCTCATTCAAGCATCTGCTGATCCCCTCCAGTGTGCTAAGCATGGGAATGCATGAGCAGGGTCACAGAGAACTTGCCCTCTCAGAAACTACATTCTGCTGACATTAACAATTATTTTATAATCTTAATAAAATCTGGAAATGCAGAAATACATGTAACCATTAAAATCATGATTAGATAAGCATGGAAAATAGAAAGTGTTGGGGACATGCTACCATATTGCCTGTGTTTTTCTCCTGGACTTAGATATTGTATAAGTGAAAGGTAGAGTTAGCAAGATACAGTACAAAATATACAAAACCTGGTCTTGGTCTATTTCCTCATCTGTAAAGTGGGAGCATAATACCTCTTCAGCCATTCTCATAGTGTTTCTGTGAGAAATAAACTAACGAGCTGGAATGTGCTCTGCACACTTGTCAAATAGAGAATACAAGTATGTCATGTGCTTAGAAGTGGTAGAGTGTTAAAATTTATTATTTTATAGCATGCCAATTTTACCCTGTTAATTGTTTTTGTTTCCACTTTTCTGTTAGCGTCTGGCCCAGGGACACCTGATTCCATCGAAGGGGTGAGCCAACATCTTTCCCCGGAATCATCAAGAAAAGCTTACTGCAGGACCTGGGAGCAGCCTAGTCAGTCAGCCTCCTTCACCCACATGCCTCAGTCACCCAATGTGTTCACTGAGCACATGACAAACAGCACCATGTCACCAGGGACAGTGGCACAGAGCCTGAAGTCCCCAGCTTCCATAAGATCCAGGAGTGTATCGGATTCTTCAGTTCCCCGAAGAGGTAACACTGCCCTCTTTGTTATCAGTGGCCCTCCAATGACTCCAGGATAAAAATCTCAATTAGTTACTCCCAGATTTCTGTCTCACCTGCAGAGAAATAGACTCTTGCAGGTTTTTATGGAAGATGGAAGGGAGGGGATCCAAACCAAACAACACACACTTCAAAGTATCTGTCTGCAGAAGAGATAGCTGGGTGGCTCAGAGCTTTAAAGGGGGGTAGGGAAGAAGGAGAGAGCACATTGTTAGTGTGGTGCTTTGCAAAGGGGTAGGGAGAGAAGAGAGAGCACATTGTTAGTGAGCTCCAGATGGTACAGTTATTTTTTTAAATTGTTTTCAATTACAGTTTATACTCATTATTTTGTATTGGTTTCAGGTGTACAACATAGTAGTTAGACAATCACATTACTTTACAAAGTGTTCATGACTATATTCCTTATGCTGTACTTTATAGCCCCATGACTATTCATAACTATCAATCTGTACTTCTCAATGGTACAGTTATTTTTAGAAGTAAACCAAGCCTACAATATTATAAAAGATGTTTGATATTGAAAAAGTTAATCTTTGTATTCATTCATTCTTTTATTCACCCATGTTTTTTCAACTCTTATGTGCTCAGCATTCTACTTGAGTCTGAACATATAAAAATGAGTGATTTAGTTCATGTCACAAGGTAAGATTAGGGTATAATGAGCAAATGCAGGACTCAAGACATACGTGAGTCTGTAAGACACAGAAGACAGGCATGCAGCAGCCTCTGCATCTCAGAATGGTCCCTGCCTTTAGGTCCTCTGTTAGCCAGTAGCAACTTGGGATTTCCTTCTCTGCTGAGAACCCAGGGTGATGAAAGATCTGTGCTGCTGTATCCTGTGCATACTGGAATTTCCTCCTGTAACAAGGAACTCATAGAGAACTCTCTAAGCTTCCAGAAAGTGCGACTGCCAGCACCTGCTAAAGTCAGTAAATGGTAACTCTTTTAGAGGCAGTGTGATAGCTATTTAACATTTGGCTATAACACAAGAATATCATTTCAGTTTTTGGATTATAGTGATAAGAGTAGTTTTTGCTTTGTAACCACTGAGCATCTGTGAACAAATGTGCATATGATTTTTTTTATTTTTAGACTCACTTTCAAAAACATCAACTCCTTTTAACAAATCCAACAAAGCAGCAAGTCAACAAGGGACTCCATGGGAAACACTTGTCGTGTTTGCTATCAACTTGAAGCAATTAAACGTCCAAATGAATATGAGTAATGTAATGGGAAATACAACGTAAGCTCTTCAGATACAAAGAAAATATATTTAATCATTACTTGTAATTTTTCTTATAGTGTATTAAAGTAATTCAAAACCTTTTTCTAATGATGAAATGTTTGAGACAGTGAAAACAGTAGATAAAAGATACGAAATTGCTTTATACTGAAATGGCTTAATCTAATCCTAAAGATACTATACTATAAAACAATATGAAATATATGTTCTAAAAAGAGAAAAAATTATAAGTAAAGCAGCATAATTTTCTAGCTAAGCAAAAGCCTTATAAATGTTAATATTTAAACATTTACTGGTTTTTATAATAAACTTAAAAACTTTTTTGAAATCATCTAACTCTTGTTTTAGTTTATGACACTGGAAGCCATATGTCTATTTAATAACCCTTTTCTTATTTTAGTTGGACAACGAGTGGTTTGAAGAGCCAGGGCCGCCTGTCAGTAGGAAGCAACCGTGACCGAGAGATCAGCATGTCCGTGGGGCTGGGAAGATCCCAGTTAGACTCTAAGGGAGGGGTTGTTGGAGGGACCATCGATGTCAATGCACTGGAGATGGTTGGTATGTTGAATTTTACAACTGAAAAATATATTGAAAAAAAGTTTTAAAAACTTTTGATGAGTTTTTCCCATTCAGCATTTCTCTGAAAAATAATTATTTCAGCTCATATTTCTGAACATCCGAATCAGCAGCCCAGTCACAAAATTCAGATCACGATGGGCTCCACTGAGGCCCGCGTGGACTACATGGGCTCCAGCATCCTCATGGGCATCTTCAGCAATGCTGACCTCAAGCTGCAGGACGAGTGGAAGGTGAATCTGTGCAGTGCCTTGGATTCAAGCATAAGTGATAAAAGGTATTCAGGAAATAGGACCTTTCAAACTTTGCATGACTGCTCTGAACATATTTTCTGTCATTCAGTGAGAAAGCACAAGCTTTTATATTATGCAATTAATGTGAATGAAAAAGCTTGGTGGGGAAGGGACTTTTTCTTGTACTTTTAAACCATGTACTTTTAAACCATCTTATATAAGCTATGTGATAAAGACTCTGTTTTATATTCTAGTGAAATTTTTGTCCATGGAGATTTGAAGTGGGATATTTTCCAAGTAATGATATCAAGATCAACCACACCAGACCTGATAAAAATAGGAATGAAGCTCCAGGAATTTTTCACGCAACAGTTTGATACCAGCAAACGAGCTCTGTCTACCTGGGGACCAGTTCCTTATCTTCCACCTAAGACAGTGACGAATATCCTAGAGAAAAGTTCACAAGAGCAGTGTAAGAAATAGAACTAAGGCTTTGTATGTGCTGATCTTTCAGTGAATGTGTTGCAATTTTCATTTAAAGTCACATAGTATCTGTATGCCATGCTTACAGTGATCCATATGCTCTTCTCCAGTTCACTCAGCAACGTACCTGATTCCCACCCACATGGGCATTGAAGCCATCATTTGAGAAGTAACCATTTCTTATCTCCTCCCCTTGCCACAGCTCATCTAAATCATCCATATACCACATTCCTGAATACAAATTATGACAATACCATGTTCTGCTTAAAAGCACAAGCTGTGGAATCAGAAATGTCTGAGTTTGAATTTATTAGCTGTGTTCTCCTAGGCCAGGGATGGGCAAACTTTTTGACTCGAGGGCCACAATGGGTTCTTAAACTGGACCGGAGGGCTGGAACAAAAGCATGGATGGAGTGTTTGTGTGAACTAATATAAATTCAAAGTAAACATCATTACATAAAAGGGTACGGTCTTTTTTTTTTTTTTTAGTTTTATTCATTTCAAACGGGCCGGATCCGGCCCGTGGGCTGTAGTTTGCCCACGGCTGTCCTAGGCAGATTATTATTTTCACTCAGTAGGTCAATCAACAAATATTTATTAAACATGCTCATGTGCTAAAGCACATGGCATAGATCTAGTGGGCAAAGTTCCTAGCCTCATGAAGTTTACATTCTAATGGGAGAGACATCCCATATTTAAGTTACTAACTAAAATGCAAGATAGTTTTAGGTAGAGAGAGGCGCTGAGAAGAGGAATGAAGCAGTGGAAGGAAACAGAATGAGTGTGTGAGGATGGCTATTTTAGAAGGGGGCTCCCGGAAGCCTTTTCTCAAGTGAAAGATCTAGGCTGAGGGCTAGGAAAGAGCGTTCCAAGCACAGGGGCCTATGGAGAGTGCAGAGCTCCCACAGCAGGAGGGTACTTTGAGGGTCACGAAGGTGGTCACTGTGTAGAACAGTGAGCAAGCAGTAAAACACTGGACCTTAGCTCAGATAGCTAGGCCACAGATAAGAGTTTTAATATGATGGGTAGCTATTGGAGAGTCTCGAACAGATTGAATATTATTTTACTTTATCTTAAAATATTCCTTTGTAAAGCATCACTCTGGCTGCTGTGTGGAGAATAGACTGTAGGCAGTTAAGGATGGAAGTTCAGAGAGCAAGTGTAGTAATTACCATCATTGCACACATACTGACATTACCATAGTAAGGTGGCGCTGTGGGAGTCCAGGCTACTGGTGATGGTGGCTTTAACTAGGTGATAGAAGTGAAGTGGCAAAAAGTTGTTAGAGTTAGGATAATTTTTAATAACTTTTTATTATCACAGAAGCAATACTTGTACATTGAAAAAAATAGAAAATACAAGCAAAAAATAAAAGCATCCTATTCCATCAAAAAATCATTCCTGTGAACACCTGAGAGCATGCACCTTCAGATATTTTTCTATGCACCTATATATGTTCTTTTTACCAAAATATTGTTCATACTGTTTTATAACCTTTTCCATTCAACAAGCTCCCACTTTCTATTTTGCTAATTTAGCTCCTCTAGCCTGTGACCACATTCCACAACTGACCTAAAATTATCCTAAAATTTGTCCAAACCAGTATATCACATTCAAGATCACAGGTCAGATCTGGTTATGTTCCTTTATTCTCTTTTAATTCAGCATAGTCCTTTTTTAATGACCTGACTAGTTTGAGAGGCTTGGCCAGTTATCCTACACAATGTCCTGCCTTCTAGTTTTCAGTTGCTTCCTTGTGGTTCCATTTATCTCTTTCCTCTAGTCCTTTTATTTCCTTTAAACTAGAATTGGTGTCAGGCATATACAAATAGAGGGGGGTTTTCCTAAAATGCCTTTCCGGGATTCTTGAAAAAGCCCTTGTCATAGAAAACAAACAAATAGACTCATAGAATTGTTTTAGATTAAAGGAAACTAAAGAGACATGCCAATTACCGTAAATACAATGCATGACCCCTGGTTGGATCTGGACTTGGAGCTGTGGAAAACAGCCAAAAAGGACATCACTAGAATAAACGGGAAATATTAAGGTGTGTTACTCAAACACCTGAAATACCTGGAAGTCTTATTCAGATGCAGATTCTGATACATAAGTGTGGGGTGGACATAAGAGCCTGAATTTTGAACAAGCTCTGGGTGATTATGATGGTCCTCAGACCTCACTTTTGAGTAGTAAGGGTACAAAAGAGTAAAAAAAGAAAATGTACTAAAAATCAGGAGATCTGTTTGATTTCTAGGTCTTCTAGTTGCTGGTTTAGTTAACCCGTCCTCTGCTTCACTTGAACAGGGTCCAGATGAAATACCTAGTTTACAGTTACTGTGAGAATTGTATAAAATGTCATGCAAGCATTTGTAAATTATTTACAGCAGTATTAGTTGTAATTATTAACAAGTTACTACTTTCCTTAGTTGCATCCATCCTTATGCAGCATCTTTCCCAAGACTATATGCTTATTAGCTTCTGCTTAATGTTAACCAGGGTTGGGTTGTTGTTTTCATCCCTTACCTGAGTCACTGCAGCTGCAGAAAGGAGCCCTGCTGCCCCCCAGCTCCCTGCCATTGCCATTGCAGATGTGCCTGTGGCAGGCACCCAGGACAAGCCTGTTTGGTTTTCTTGCAGTGCTGGACGCCGCCCACCATCGACACTGGCCGGGAGTACTGAAGGTGGTATCGGGATGCCACATATCCTTATTCCAGATCCCATTACCAGAAGATGGAATGCAGTTTGGAGGATCGATGAGCTTACATGGAAACCACATGACACTAGCTTGTTTCCATGGTCCAAATTTCCGTTCAAAATCCTGGGCCCTTTTTCACCTAGAAGAACCAAATATTGCTTTTTGGACTGAAGCTCAGAAGATCTGGGAGGATGGTAAACTGACACATTTCAAACTTTTACTCTTTCCATCTTCTGATGTGATAATACATAGCAGAGTAACTTTTCTTTCTCATATCTTTTATCTGTTTTCTCTTACAACATTTCTGAAGTCCATTCTATTTGTTATTATGTACCTGACATGTCAAGGAGTTCACTGCCAATGAGTCAGTTTCTATAAAGTCTGGGATGTAAAAGACTTATTTCTGAACTTGCTATCTACTCTTTTTCTTGCTTAAGCAATTAAAGATTCTGTTACTGGCTGTAATCATAATAGTAGTTATTGTAAAAATTTCTTACATAAACATGAAAAGAAGAGATACAGTGGCAGTATAGGGAAATGATCTGCCTTCAAGACTACGGTAGGCAAGCTCTGCTTTTACCTCTGTTTACAGTGGTAGACCCAGTTCCTTTCAGCTTTAGTTTTTTACTCAGTGGTTTCTTAATGATGACCCCCCCCCCAAAAAAAATGGTTGATGCTTTTTTCTTTTTTTATTGTTTAAAGTATTACATATGTCTCCTTTTCCCCTGTTTGACAACCCCCCTCCCCGGTCCACTCCCATCCCCAAGAGCAAGCCCCCACTGCCCCAGTGTCCGTGTCCATTGGTTATGCTAATATGCATGCATATAAGTCCTTTGATTGATCTCTAACCCCCTCTCCCCTGCCCCTTATCTCTGGATCTATTTTTGTTAATCAGTTTATGTTGATCATTATGTCCCACATATGAGTGGGTTGATGCTTTTCATGTTACTGGGGATAAATCCAGTAATAGCTAAAAGAAAAAATATTTGTGATTTTATTTCTCACTTATATACTCATTTTCTATCTGTTGCTCTAAGCACAACTCCTTTCTTGCATCTAAATATAATTTGTTACATTAAGAAACTTTTTTTCCTCTAGGCTCTAGTAATCATTCTACATATGTTGTACAAACATTGGATTTCATCATCCTGGGCCAATAATTACCATGGTTACCCAAACCATGTGGCGCTTTGGAAAAGTCCTATGGCAACAAATACCAAGATAACAAAGGCGTCGCCATGAAAACCCACCCCATGGAGTAGCAAGTGTGAAAGAATGGTTCCATTATGTTACAGCCACAAGAAATGAAGGTTAAAAGTTTGATTTTTTTTGGAGATATTTATTTTGTTTTTTCCTAATTTGGATTCTGTTGACTGTATAGAATTTAAGTGGGGGAAACTTTTCATTTCTTCAATTAAACAATTTTCATTTTGCTCCTGCTGCTGTAACAATATTAATGCATGGTTTCATCACCCTGGTAATGCAATATAGACTTAAATTATTTTAGATGTAACTGAAAACAATCAAAGTAAAATTGGCTTAAATAACTGAAATTAAGTTTACTTTAAGATAATTAGAAACCTATTTTTATACTAATGTTAAACATTAGAGATTTGGAGAAGTTATTACACAACTAAGTACTAGGATGCCACAAACTTAAGGTTCTCGATGGATGAAATAAAATGAAACTAAATAATATCATTCCTATGAAGTCATAAGTTTAAAGAGTGGTTTTGATGAGTTTTTCATTTGATTTGATTCACCAATCTTAATAATGTGGTCATGAAAAGTTTTATTTTGTGGTGGTTTTATGTTCAAGTTTATAATATTGCTTTTACTGATTTCATTTGTATTAGAAAGCGGACTAGATCGAGAAATGATAAGACTTGAATGTTTTATTTAAAAATGACTTTTCAAAATGGAAAGGATGATGACATGGGCCCGTGGAAAATAGTTACTATGGAATAGGCAACCCCAGGGATTAAAGACTGTTCTGGGAACAAAGGGGTATAAGGAAGCAAATTAGAAGAGTGTGCATGTATTAACTGTTCTACCTTCTAAGTACACATTTTGGGGAAGGGTTCCTTTTTGGCTGGGATACTATGGAGGGGCTATCAGCATACTGAACTGCTACCTATGTACCTAGAAAAGTGCTAATTTTATAAGACAACCATAATGTAATCATAGCACATACATTGGGAAATATCAGGACTTCTACCTGATTTCAAGATCAGGATCATATTTAATTACAAATTCTGTAAGAGTGAAGTATTCAGTGTATGGAGATTAATGAAACTCTTAAATTCAGACATGAATTTAATCCTATATAATAAAAGCATAGTATGCAAATTGTCCCCTTGACCGGGAGTTCATCTGGGAGTTCGACCACGGGGCGGGGCCGGCTGGGGAAAGGGAGGGAGGCTCTGGCTGGCAGCAGCAGCCGCTAGGGACCCTACCAGTGCACAAATTTCATGTACTGGGCCTCTAGTTGAGAATAATATTCATTTTAAAGTTCAAGAAACAAAAAAGCAAAATGGATTGGATTTTTGGATTTATTCAAAACTATGTTATAAAGCTTCAGTCTTGAGAACAGTGATCTATATCACTATGTGTGTATATAAGTATAAATATAAATCACTACATATAAATTAACATAGCTCTATATTAATTTATATAAATGTGTCTATATCCCTGTCTACATATATAGAGGTAATTATTCTCAAGACCACAACTTTATATGGTTCTATTTTTTCAAATGTGAGTTGATTTTGCAACTTTTGAAATGATAAAAGTTCCTGTATCATAGTGCCATGAAAGCTATAGGCTTATCTATGTCTATTGGTTTAATTTGACTGTTACTGTCTTTATTATTATGCATGTAGAGCTAAACCTACTTCGTAACGTTGATGCTAATAACACCGAGAATAGCACTACTGTGAAGAATTCCAGTTTGTTGAGTGGATTCAGAGGAGGTTCTAGTTACAATCATGAAACAGAGACTATCTTTGCATTACCAAGGATGCAGCTTGACTTTAAATCTATTCATGTTCAAGAACCACAGGAACCTTCATTACAGGGTATGTGGAAGAACAATCTTTAGTTTCTGAAGTTACTAAGAAAATTCTAAAGGAACTTAGAACTACTGTTTTTTGTTATTTGTGTGTAATATTGGTATAATCTGATTATATAATTATCTACACTAATAAAAGAGAAACATGGTAATTAGTGTACAACCGCTACCCTTCCCATTGGCTAATCAGCATATCCTTATGCAAATTAACTGTCAGCCAAGATGGCGGCTGGCAGCCATGCACTGAAGCGAGCAGGGAGGCTTGCTTGCTCCAGTGACGGCGAACTCCAACGTTCCCCGCCTCACTTGCCGGCCTCTCAGCTGCAACTCTAAGCAACTATGTACTATGTTGCAAATAAGAAGCTAAACAAAACACCAGAAATCAGCCGGACTGAAAGCCAGGCGGACCGAAACATTGTATCCATGTTTTCAGCAGCGAGGCCTCAGAGCTAAAGCTGGCCCAGAATAAAAAAAAAAAAAAAAAGAAAACAAGGAGCAGTTGGAAGCTTTAGTCACTCGCCAGCCAGCCGGAAAACAGCCCTCAGCCCCTCACCCAGACTGGCCAGGCACCCCAGTGGGGACCCCCACCCTGATCCAGGACACCCTTCAGGGCAAACCAGCCAGCCCCTACCCATGTACCAGGCCTCTATCCTATATAGTAAAAGGGTAATATGCCTCCCGGCACCGGGATCAGCGGAGCAGCAAGGCTCCCGGCACAGGGATCAGCGTGACAGGGGGCAGCGCCCCAACCCCCTGATCAGCCCTGCTCTGTGCCTGATAGCGGGGAGCTCCCCAATCCCCTGATTGCCCTGCGGCTCTGTGTTTGACAGGGTGTGGCGCACCAACCCCCTGATCGGCCCTGCTCTGTGTGTGACAGGATAGAGCCATAACCTCTCCATCGGCCCTGCCCTGAGTGTGACAGTGGCGGCGCCCCAACCCCCTGATCGGCCCTGCTCTGTGGGTGATAGAGGGTGGCGCCCCAACCCCCCTCCACGGGCCTTGCTCTGTGTGTGACAGGGTAGAGTCCTAACCTCCCCATTGGCCCTGCCCTGAGTGTGACAGGGTGCAGCGCCCCAACCCCCTGATCCGCCCTGCTCTGTGTGTGACAGGGGGCGGTGCTCCAGCTCCCCTATCGGCCCTACTCTGTGAGTGACAGGGGGGAGCTCCCCAACCCCCTGATCAACCCTGCTCTGTGTGTGACAGGGTATGGAGCCCCAACCCCCCTGATGGGCCCTGCTCTGTGAATGACAGGGGGGCAGCGCCCCAACCCCCCCTGATCAGCCTTGCTCTGTGAAGTGAAAAGGGGGCAGCGCCCCAAACCCCCCTGATCGGCCCTGCTCTGTGCGTGACGGGGTGGCGCCGCAACCTCCCCCTCAACCCTGCCTTGAGTGTGAAAGGGGGGGGGTATCAAAACCTCCCCGATCCCCCCCGGGTTTTTGGAAAGAAAGGGGGGGGGCCCCAAACCTCCCAAAAGGCCCCCTGTTTTTTAACCTTAAAAAAGGGGGTTCCCCCCGGGGGGGGGGGGGTTTTTTTTTTTGGAAAGGGGGGGAGGGCCTTAAGCAAAGGAGGGGGTTTTTTTCCCCGAGGGGGTCCAAAACCTGAAAGGGGGAAAAAGGGGGGGGGGGGCCCCCCCCCCCCCCCCCGGAACAAAATTTTTTTTGTCCCCCGGGCCCCTTCCGCGGTTTTTAAAAAAAAAGCTAAATATTTAGATATGACATTTTTTGCCACGCGTTTGATGGGCCCGTCTCCCCCCCAAAAGGGTGAGAGATCCTTAAAAAAAAACCCCGCTTGGACCTACCGGAATAATGGTAGATGAGGCGCACTCCTTGCGGGGAGTATCACCCCCTGAGAAAACGGATTATAGGAAGGGAAGGCCCAATATCTCTTCGGGGGGCTACCACAGCAAATCCTCACTACTTTAGGCCGCGGCGGGGACCAAAATAGTTTTTCTTCGAGGGAACTACATT